TCTTCAGTATATTACATTGACACGATCGGACATAGCATTTTCTGTTAACAAGTTATGTCAGTTTATGCATTGTCCTAATGAAGATCACTAGAAAGCTTTCAAAAGGTTGTTGTGGTATCTTCACCATACTACTTTACTCGGCATGTTCCTCTCCAAGGATTCAAATTTGCAATTGCTGAGTTTTGCTAATAGCGATTGGGGGGGTTGCCCCGATGACAGACGTTCTACAAATGGCTACGTTGTGTATTTGGGTAATAATTTAATCTCTTGGACTGCAAAGAAACAACACAAAATTGCTAGAACATCTACTGAAAGTGAATATTGGGCTTTGGCAAATGCATCAGCCGAATTGATTTGACTTCGCTCCTTACTAAGTGAGCTTGGTTTCCTGTGTTCCTCTCCATCAACTTTATGGTGTGATAATATTGGAGCAATTTACTTAACTTCTAATCCTATATTTCATGCTCGTACAAAGCACATTGAATTAGACTATCATTTTATACACAAACTGATTGCTCAAGGCAAGGTTCAAGTTAAATTTATTTCGAGTGATGACCAATTTGCTGACATCTTCACCAAGGCGCTAGGACGTAGACTCTTTGAACGACTCCGAGACAAACTGCGACTTCTGCCTACAGAATCGACAGCTTGAGGGGGCCTTATCTATATTTTCATTCAAATCACAGCATTTTTATCTATCTTCATTCAAATCTCAGCAACTGCTTATCTCTATCTTCTTTGGGTTTCTTATCTTGTTATCTCATTCTTATTATTATCTTGTACAATTGCTACTTATCTTTTCATGTAAATTCTCTATATATGTTGATATTATAATTCAAGCAAGACACAAGAAATACAGGTTATTTTCCAGCCTATTCTTTCTTTTATAGTCACTTCACCTAATTTTCGATTTCTACTATCTATTTATATTTAGTTATTTATTATTATTTAATATCAAATTTATTTTAGTAATTTATCTATTGTGAAATAGAGTAAAAAATTCAATATATAATTTTTAAAAGCAAAGAACACTGGTCTTTAAATACGACCCAAAAAAAAAAAATACTATATATATAATTTTCTTATTTATAAGGACAACAATTGACACTAAGACTCATTGGGCATCTTCTTACTTCCTACTAAGTTTACCCGATTTTACTTCATTATTCACATTAGGTTCAATCCATTTCTTAAATCTAAATCCCACCAAAAACATTCTCAAATTACAAGTTAAAAGGTAACCATAAAACTACTATACTAAAGGATAAGATTACTTAAATTTTAATCTTCAAATTATGGTCTACAAATTGACCAAAGACTAATAAATCCCTAATATGACTATGGCGTTTGGTCAACCAATCATTTCCACTTCAAAAAAAAAAAAAAAAAAAAACTCACTCATTCTCAGGTGTCCTTCCAACACCCACCCTAACTCCATTGAAATCCAGCTCAACAATGATATTTTTGTTATTATTTTATTATGAGAAAACTGTTGTGGTGACGCGGAAATTTAATCTTATCCAAAACTTTGTTGGACTACGACCGCTTTAGCACAAAACTGGAGTGCAGGTTACGTGTCAACTAAGGAAGCCGCCACGCGGATGGAAACCTGCAAGTTACGAACATCCAAAGACATTTTAACACTTTCTAGAAAAAGGCAAAGGAGGGAGGAGCGAGGCGGCTTGGATCTTCAAAAAGCAGTTATAAAATGACAGATAGGTGACAACGCCGTATAAACGTCACCCTCCGACAGGCGGTTGCCGACATCACGAGTTCACACCACCACACCATGCCACTTCACTCCAATCATATGAATTCTTATTTATTAGTCCAACAATTTTAACCACAAACTGATAAGTGATAATACTTAATAAATTAGCATTATCTATTTCTGTATATATTTGAGGATTTTTGGTTGTATTTATTTATGAATCTATTTTCTGTTTTTCATTTTTTTACCTCATAAAATAGGTGTTTAAATATGAAATTTGTTTTTTATTTCACAGAAAGGAATTTAGAAGTAGGGAGGAAAACTTCAGTTTAATGAATAGGTGTTTACATAATTCATTTTTTTTTTAAATAATCTCTCATTTCTATAAAATTTAGTTTCTAATCAATAATTTTTTTTTATCAAAAATTGCAAATGAAAATTAAAAAAAATTGGTACATTACTTTAAAATGAATAAAAATAAATAACAATATGAGAGAATCTATCAATTGTGTAGATAATAAATTTTTTTATTTTTAAAATATTATTTTCAAACAAATATGTCTGTTTCTAATTTTTGTTTTACAGTTACTTTTAATATATATATTTTTTATATGGATTTACAAAGTTCATCAACAATATTCAATTGATTTATAGAACTAGATAATATAAATTGAAGGTAAAATACGGTGAATGATATTGTAAAACGTCATGTCATATTGATAACTTGTTACAAGCCTCACTTTTAACAGTATCCTTAAATGTTGGAGACAAATTTTATTCAAATGAAATTAAAAAAAATAAAAAATAAAAAAAACTTAATATCCAATGCATGTAACTAAGCATATATAATTTAATCATAAATCCATTAGGTTTAAGTTGTTTTCAAAAACTTAAAAATATATATCCTCTTGAGATTATCAATTTTATTTTTTATTGTTTTACAAAAATATAAAAAAAAATCCTTAATAGAGCATATTCAATAATTTCTAAAAATTATTGAAATAATTGAGATCTATCGATCTCCCTAAAAATTGATATAAAATTATAATTTTTGTTCTTTAATTGGAAAAAAGAAAAAAATAAATATTATTATAAGGTTTGTTGGGACTTTTTCTTTCTTACTTTTCTTTTTCGTTTTATTTATTTATTTTATTAAGCATAGGTCTTGTTTAAGTCAATTAAAAAAAGATCAATCATAATTAAATAAATATAAAACCAAATGTTGATAATTACAAGCTTTTGACTTTGATGAATTAGTCATGTTGGATACAATACTAAAACAAAGGTTAATTTTGGGATTAAAAAAAAGATATGTATACTTTTTCAAAATATCCAGTCAAAAGTGTAAAATAATAAAGTTTAGGAGACGAAATTAATATATTTATGCATAAAATTTTAAAAATTTATACGACCGGGCCTTTGGTAAGTTCATTCCCTGATAAATGTTATAAATTTAGGGAGAACGACATTTTCCCACCCAAGGTTTGAAGAATGGACACTTTCCCACCCATCAAGTTTCAAAATGACACTTTTTCACCATTCGTTAGGTTCTATTAGTATTTTCTATTAATATTTGATTGAAAAGACGAAAATATCCTTAAATATTTTATTTCTTAATTAGTTTATTATAAATTAAAATTTAGTTAATTCAAAGTATTTATTAGTCCAAGTATAAAGATACATTTTTTTTTGTTTATTTAATTAATTAGGAATATTGATTTTTTATGTTAATTAGTAAAAATGAAAAACATTATAAATAATAGTGATGTGATATTGATGACATTAAAAATAAATATTAAGATTATTTAACTTTAAACAATTTTATAGCATTACTCATAACTTTTTAGGTGGGGTTAACTATTTTTTCATTTTTTCATTTTTAATATTTGATTGTTTAGCTAATTAAAAAATAATAAAAAATTTATAAAGTAAAATATTTAAGGGTATTTTCATATTTTCAGTAAATATTAACGGAAAACGTAAGATAACATAATGAAGGGTGAAAAAATATCATTTTGAAACTTGATGGGTGTAAAAGTGCTGTTTTGCCAAACCTTGGGTGGGAAAATGTCGTTCTCCCTTAATTTTAGGTTGATAAGTCCTCTTTTGTAACAATAATACTGGTCACACTGTTATTATTCACGTATGTTTAGTTACAAGTCCATCGTAAATACACACCATTCAAGGTTTGAACAATAATACTGTTCATTATTGTTTACTGTTATAAGTTCATTATAAACTCTTATTATTCCTGTATGTTTGTTTACAAGTTCAACATTCTAATACCAATACAATAAATTTTTCACAAACCATTTAATTTATTTTGTAATTTAAAAAAAAATTATTAAAGAAAAGTGAACAATTTAAAATTTGTCTCAAGTGAACCCTAAAATTTCATACTTAATTAAATTTTTTGTTTACAAAATTATTAATTGCCTAAAACATTGTTAATAATTAGATTAGAGAACTATCTTTAGGTGATCGAGTAGTTTGATAAGGACTCTTAAGTATATTACTTAAAAGAACATGAGTTTGAGTTCTTCTTCAATTACTAATAGGGGTAATTACTAGAGTTTTTACTCAATCGATAGTTCTAGAGTTTTGAAAGATTAGTTAAAGTATATCTAATTTGGTTTAGATGTCTCGATCATAAAAAGAAAAAAAAATAGTAATAAGATTAGAGTTGGGCTTGACTTAGGGGGGAAAAGGACTTCCTTCCCAGGATTTAGAAATTGAAAAAGATTTTTTTTTTTTCTAAATTCTAAAAACATTATTACGAAAATGAAATACATAACATAAAAAATGAAAATGGTGTTTTTAATTTGTCTACAGAATATTTTTTTCAATTTATTTTAAAATAATTCACAAAATAAGGTATAAATTATATTGAAAAATGCTTTAATCACTATGCCATATTGAGGAAGATATTTAATTATTATATTTCATCTTAATAAACATTTTAATGATATGTTACATAATCACTCATTATTTATTTATTAATTACTATGATGAGGTGGATATAAAGTTTAAGATATTATTAAAGTGGTGTACAAATAACGTGATAGATAAGAGTTTATATGAATTTGGAAAAAGAAAAAAGAAAAAAGAAAAAAAAATAAATAAAGGAAGAAGAAAGGAGAAGGTGTTGAGAGAGAGGAAATAACAGGTATAAACAAAAGAAATGTCCAATAAAAGAAAAAACGTGTGAAATTAGGAGTCTTTAGTTGTTGCTTCCATAACCAAACAAAACTCCAAAATCCCCCTTGAACTCATTATAAATACCTCAACTCACTCTCAAAATCAAATCTCCCACCAAACTCAACTCACTTCAATACCCCATTTCCCCATTCAATTAATCCATCAAAATCCTTTTTCTTTTCCATTTACTTCCATATGTATCAAGACCCCAACTCCTTTCACTCTTCTTCTCCCTCCACTCCCTGGAACCGCCTTGAGGACAAGCTTTTCGAACATGCTTTAGTTTTGTACCCCGATGAAGTTCCCGATCGCTGGCAAAAGATCGCCGATCAAGTTCCCGGGAAGTCTCCTCTCGATGTCAAGGAACACTATGAGGTGCTTGTTCATGACGTCGCTGAGATTGACTCCGGCCGAGTTGAGTTGCCGTGTTATTCTGATGAGTCGCCTGATTGGGACTCCGCCAGTCAGATCTCCTTTGGCTCTAAGTCTGTAAAGCAGGGCGAGCCTGAGAGGAAGAAGGGTACTCCCTGGACTGAAGAAGAACACAGGTATGATTTCGAGATTCAATTTCTTTTTTTTTTTCTTGTTATTGAATGATGATTGAGTATCGGTTTTATTTTGAATGATTTCTTGTTTGAAGATGATTTTATTTTATTTTTTTTAAATTTCTGGGTTTTCGTTTCTTCAAAGTGAAGAAACTAACCACAGCTAATGGTGAACTATAAATATTTTTTAATTTCATATAATTTTATTACTATTTTAAAATCTATTTTTAGGGGTTTTTTTTTTTTGACTTGTTTGGCTGCTCCGAATGTGTAGCAAAAAGAAAAGGGGCAATATTTTCGTCTGTTGCAATCAATTACTTTTTTCTTTGTTTTTATAAACCAACAATAATATACCCAAATCATTGCTTTTGAAAAAGTTTATTGAATCAAATGGATAAATTTTTTTTATGTCGTTAAGCTTATTAAATTGTGTTTATGTTTAATTGGTGCTTGGACGCTGCATTTTGTTAAAATGTTATATTGCTAAACCCCAATATGATTCTGAATATGCCTACTGTGTTTACAAGCGCTTCTGGCATCATTAGAAGCAGTAAATTGGTAAGAGCTTTATCTTATTGGAAGAGCATTAACTTAGAGGCACTACTTAAAAGTGCTTTCCAACAAAACACTCCAAACTCATCCGAAATATTTCTGGAATTTTCTGTCTGGGTTGGGTTTTTTTTATATGAATTCCCAACAAATAGAGTTCCTCACCTTTATGTTCATATTTTAATGAGTTTTAAGTTTTATGTGGTTGAGCAGAGATTTTTAGGTTTATGAGGTTTCAAACTAAGAGACTTTGGGGATATGTTTATCTTTTATAAACTGATTTCCTACCATGTTTTAAAATTTTTTGTCAGCAAAACATGGTGCATATTTTTATTTTATATCAAACTTTGTGGTTCCATTAAGAATAACAAAAGTTTCGTGAAATATGACAAAAAGTTTACATTTCATTACTCTGAAACAGAGTTCATTTGTATGAGGAGTGCAGTTTTTCTATTGAGTAAACAATAATAGCTTGCAGATTAAATGCTTTCGGATTAATTCAGTGAATTTTTTAACAAAAATGGATTTCTTGATTGATTATTGTCAACATAAATTAACTTATTGTTCTTTCCGTAGTATTGCATAGTGCCATTACATGCCCGAGATGAATTTATATCCGTGCTTGAGATGTGGCACTGCTAGGATTTGTATACCCATGAATTATCAAACTTTTGTCTGCCCTGTGTCATTGTTGTCTGTAGCTAATTTTCAGCGGGTCTTGTAACAGGTTATTTCTGATTGGATTGAGTAAATTTGGAAAGGGTGATTGGAGGAGTATTTCAAGGAATGTAGTGGTGTCAAGAACACCAACTCAGGTGGCTAGTCATGCTCAGAAGTATTTCCTTCGCCAGACTTCTGTGAAGAAAGAGCGGAAAAGGGCTAGCATCCATGACATTACAACAGTGGATACCAAGCCATTAACGCCTCCTGTTGACCAGAACTGGAATCCTTCCCCGGGAGTTCCAGGTCACCAACAGCCACCTACATATCAACAGTTTCCTCCACCAAACCAGTTTCCCAGTCAAGGAGGCGCAATGGGGTATCAAAACTATGGCTTCCCCATGTAAAGATACATTAGAGGTGCACACATTGTATATAAAGCAATAGCATGCTCTTTAACAGTCCAATTTGTAAAGTCATGTTCATGTTCTTTTTAGCTAATAGGGGATTAGTAGTATTGAGAAAGTAAATCTGACAATCTAGGTTGCCGCGTTTTGAAGTATCTGTGGATAGTAGGGAAACAAAGTGGTGAAGAGTTTAGTTGGATTATGTACAAAAACTGAGATTGAATTCAAGAGGGATAGGCAATTTTTTCTTAGTTCTTTGATCATTTTACTATATGAGTTGAAAACCTTTCTTGTGTAGATACTATATATACCCTTTGATTGATCTGAATGTATTATTGCTAGTATTGAGTATATATCATGTATAGTTCTTATTTCTTCTGACTTTTTTGAAAAATATCGAAGACTGGTGATAGTTCATGTGGCCTTTATTTGAAATCTGAAAATGAAAACATTTTTTTTTTTTAATTTATTAAGAAGAAGAACAATGAGATTGCTGCTTTTGAATGCACAGAAAAAAGAATAACGATCAGTGATTTCTTGTTTAGCAACTTAACATCTTGATTGATCAGAACGTATTATTCACTAGTATTGAGTTTAAGTATACATAATATATGGTTCTTATTTGTCCAACTTCTTTTCTGGGGAAAATATTCAAGTGTGGCCTTGTACAGCTTTTTATTTGAAGTTTTATAGGGCACCTACAGTTTGGAGTCGACTATGGACTATACAACTGATATATAGATTCTCCATTTCTTGTCGTGTAATATTAATTAAAAAACCAAATTATAAATTTACCAAATGTATAGTAATAAATCTTTTTTATCGGTATATTAATATATCTGGTTTAGAGAAAAATTATATGTACATGAAGCACTAATTATATTAATTGTCATAGTTTTGGCTACTCCTGTTACCTATACCTTATTGATACCATTGGAATTACTGAGCTGCTGTCAAATCCTGAAATTGCACTTCATAGTTCATAGCATAACTGGCTTATCTCAAATAAAAAATTAAAAACTACAAGAAATAGATTTATTGATATAGCTTCAAGATCGATTCAGAAACGAATATAACTATCAAATTATATTTTTTCTTTGATTATTCTAATGTTTATAACAAAATTTATAATAGTAATTTTATTGCTAGTCTTTTACGGTTTTACCGTGGGTACTTTTAAAAATATTAGAATAATAAACTTCTAAATACATATTTTAACCGAATATCATGGAAGTGAACTTAATTGAAAACTAAAACAGTAGTGGAATTCATAAATATAAGAGGACATCCAAATTGATTTTCCAGCCAGATGACTATTTGTGTATTATTACAGAAGATTCCATGTGGACTGTTTGGAGATAAAATACAAAAGAATCATAATAAAAATACTAAAATATAAGGATAGAAAAACAGAAAAAGATTGAATTTAGGCCTTGGGTGTAAGGCCTATCTTGAGCTTTAGGATGTTTGCAACATCAATTTTGGACACCCTAGCAAGAATGTTATCATCAATGCCACTAGTAAACAGATTAAGAAGAACTGAAACCGTGCCTGCATTAGCACTTCCAAAAGCAGAAATAGCGGTAGAAGGTTGTTTTGGATCATCATTAGATTGATAGTGCACCAATCCTTTTGGAAACACAAACATGTCTCCAGCTGTGAGAGTTTGTTTATAAATTTTGTTATTGGTGTCAATAAATCCAACATTCAGCCATCCTTTTAATACCAATAGTAGCTTAGCTGAACGCGGGTGTGTGTGAGGTGGGTTAATAGCTCCTGCTGGAAATTGTAAAAAAGCATAAGAGACACTTTGACCATCCAAAGCTGGAAAGTTTGTCGTGCTGGCTTCAGTCGTTGAGAAGGTTTGTGTGTAGTCGGAGTTACCCATGTTGCACAGGTCGAAGTAAAAATTTCTATCAACAGCTTTGTTAGCACTATAATTCATGGGAACTACAAAGTCCGTGGTGATATCTGCATCCTGCTGTTGATACAGAAATCTGTACCAACTAGAGAATTCTGATTGACCTTGATGGGACCAGAATGGATGTGTGCGTGATTACGGGTAATTAGCATTTAGCAACAGACAAATATTACGTGCAATAAAATTTTTAAAGTGGTTCGGCGAGGTAAACTTTTAAGCTTACGTCCACTGTTTTTCTTATTTGTTGTGAGGCTTACAATGAGAATTCTATCAAAGTCATAACCCCGTTTTCATCATTTGTGGGGGTTTACATACAAGGTTTGTATGAAGGAAAGAGCGAAAATAAAGGGATTATAATTGATCTGAATTGCAATTCTGATATTCTCGTGATTGGGCGCTGTGATTGCACAGAGATTGATGTTGATTTGGTCATTCCTGCAATATCTGGGATCTTAAGATATCTAGGAATTGATTGAATGATCATTCGCGTTGTTCACGACTAGCTTATGCTGGGTCGAACTATATGTTAACGAGCTTGTGTTGGGTCGGACAACTAGTGGAGTTGGACTGGTCCTGGGTCGAGCTATATCCTCGCGATATCCCGAGCTTGGTGGAAAAATCACACACAACGTCTACCCCCTAGTGTTCGATGCTCGTTTTGAGCTTCAAAGACTATTGCTCGATTTGATGCCAAGCTCGACATCACCAACAGGTCTCTGGATGCAGGTTCGATCGAGCTCTCGGGGTCGACCTCATGTCCGGCCGACATGCTTCACACTTGTTTACTTCCTGTGATACCTACTAAACTCAAAACATGAAAAGTTAGGGCAAAAACGTAATTTCTAAGCAGTCATATCGCATTAAATGTGATAGCCTTTGTCAATCATGTTTCGTCGCGTGTGGGCAACTACAACTGTCCACGTGCGAAGTCAAGGCGTCGTGCGGCGATGATTGTCAGTGTAACAGTTCGACAGTTCGTCGCCCTTTGCAGATAGATGACGCGTGGCCACGTCTAAGGGCCGAGATTGCTCGATGAATGAAGGGTCGAGATTCATTGTAGATCGACGACTATGATTAAACCCCACCTTTTTGTCTTCCATGCAAACCACTATAAAAGGTGGCGAAGTCGTGAGAATGCTCATTCAGTCCAAGAAAGTTCTCTGACATCTTTGTCCACTTTGCTGCTGTTTTTTCATAGTCACGGTGCTCTTTCTGGCGTGTTTCTACACTTCTTTAATTTCGGTAAGGTTCTTTTCCCCTCCTTTACTCGTTTTTCCCATTTTGTGTCAAAGGGTGGCTACTGTCGTGGCCACATTAGATGTTCTAAGGCTTTAGCAACGTTTTTGAATACGTCTTTAGCGGTCCTAGGTTTAAGGAGGGTTTAATGAGGTGGCCGCGGGAACCTGGGATAGGTCACATGCGTTCGTTGTGTGGTGCGAGCTATCTTGGGTGCTTGAACTAAAAGCAAGTGTGAAATGGTCGAGCTCTAACACATGTTCACTTTTGTTTCAAGTACCCAGAAGCGAGCTATAACCATGTCTTCCTCCAATAGTCACACAATCAACCGCATGTTCGATTCGCCTGCGGGCTTGATAGTCCTTGAGGATTCAACTCCCGAGGTTTAGGAGGAAACTGTCGCACGAAGCTCGGACCTTGATGCGACGGGCTCTTCCGACTGTGCCTCAATACAGTTGGCTTAACCCGCGTGGTCTCCAGTTCATAGGCTACGAAGAGAGCCACAATCTTTGATTACCGTTGGGGATCTAGAATGCATAAGAGTGGTCTATATGCCGTAACTAAATTTGATGGCCCCGGGGGACATTCTCGAAAGAATCCTTTGCCTAGATGGGTAGCGACCTCTAAGACCCTCTTGAGATATGAGGTATCCATTCCCCCTCATCGTTTTATTGATGATGTGTTGAGGCGGTTCGACATCATCCCCCTCCAACTTTCCGTAAACTCCTACGTAATTATTATTGCTCTGTACATAGCGTACATGATCACCAAGTTGGGCACACTATCCGTTGAGGAGCTCGTCCATCTATACAGACTCAAAAAAGGGCAAAACTAGACGTACTACCTTTCCAAAGCGAGGAAGGTACGTTTCAACGGGCTAGTCGATGTCCCAAAAAAGGTCCCGCACTCGGACTCACAACTTTTCTTCTATGAAGCCTGGGAGACCGACACCTTCACCTTGGAAGCAAGTAAGATTTCGACTTATCGTACGTGTAAGATCGCTTTTGAGCTTTGTATTCTAGCTAACTGAGTTGCTTTGTTTTGTAGTTAATGTTGAACAGAACTATCTCCCTGCCGCAAGCTTGCAGAAGCTCCAGCGTTTCAGCGACCTTCTCGATGGACAGCACAACATTAACAAAATCGTTATGCTACCCCACCTGTGAGCATACGGCTTCTGTAGGGACGACACAAGATTTCCTACGATCTTGGAAAAAGGTAAGTCGTCGTTTGCTCGTACTTTTTCCTGCGTGGATAAGTCACTTACTGTTTGTTACTTTCTTGCAGAGCCTTAAGAAGAAGACGACAACTTCGGTGACTGGCAAGAAGACACCGGCTGCTTTGGCAACAAAGCAGCCCACTGATGTCATTGGCGTGAAACGTGCCAGTGGCGAGCTTGGGGAGGGTCCAAGCATGAAAAAGCCTACGATTGCCCCAAAGGCAGCGGGTGGAAAAAATGTTTCCGTGCCCCAGAAGGGGCCAACGAAGAAAACTCTCAAGCTTACTGGAGGCTCAAGGAAACTGAAGGCACCCAAGTAACATGATAGCTCGGGTAAGAAGAAAGCAATCGAGCCTCTGGGAAGACATTATCGTGTTTCACTAGATGACACAACACACATCGCAGATCGGTTACAACTACACCAGCATACATTATAGATTGGCGTCTTGGGGATGACCGTTGTCCTCACTCTCCCCCAATGGCTGTTTCCCCGGCTGCCTCTTGGGGTTAGTTTGCCCTCGGGACTCACACTCGTGAGCGGAGTGCAACTTACGATGTTGGGGTATTGGCCGCCTCTTGGCGCCAATGAATCGGACTGGTCGCCTGCAGAATTCATACTTGTTGGGGTGGCACTGGTGAAGTGCGGTTGGTTAAGATTCTGTGCAGGTGGTTATTGATTCCTTAGCTTAGCCAAGTTTTGTTGCACTGCCTGTGCAACCATCGTTTTGATCATTTCCACTAGTTGGCCATTTTTGGGGTTTGACGTCCCTGCCTCTTGGTTATTCGCAGCATGCTGGTTGGCGGCATAAGTAGTCGGTGTCTAGTGGCGTCTTGTTGTACCTCATGATGGGTGGTTTCCACATTCTTAAGGTTTCTGGTGGTGGTCTTTAATCTGGTGTGCACCATTATAGGCTTGGATTGGGTGGATTGTCGCGACTGTTCGTAGAAATTGTTGTGATGTTAGTAGAGGCCCTCGTTCTAGCACCAAAATGTTGATACATAAATCTGCACTAACCAGAGAATTCTAATTGACCTTGATGGGACCAGAATGGATGTGTGCGTGATTACGGGTAATCAATAATAGACAAATATTACGTGCAATAAAATAAATGACAACGAGAATTTTTAAAGTGGTTCGGCGAGGTAAACTCTTAAGCCTTCGTTTACTATTTTTTATATTTGCTATGAGGGCTTACAATGAGAATTCTGTGTCAAAGTCGTAACCCCTTGTTCATCATTTGTGGGGGTTTATATACAAGGTTTGTACAAAGGATAGAGCGAAAATAAAGGAATTACAATTGATCTGAATTGCAATTCTGATATTTTCATGATTGGGCACTGTGATTGATGTTGATTTGGTCATTCCCGCAAGATCTGGGATCTTAAGATATCTGGGAATTGATTGAATGATCACTCGTGTTGTTCGCGACTAGCTTATGTTGGGTCGAGCTATATGTTGATGAGCTTGTGCTGGGTCAGACAACCGGTGGAGTCAGACTGGTCCTAGGTCGAGCTATATCCTTGCGGTGTTCCGAGCTTGGTGAAAAAATCACACACAACACCTGCCATGACCATTGCAAGAAGAAAAAATGGAATGGATTTAAGAAAATTTGAGATCATGATGACTTATTGAGTAGCCAGCCAGAGAATGATGAGAGATGATTGTGAGTGAAAGTGTTTATTTATTGTTTTTGTGATAAAAATACATGCTACAACATAAAATTTATAATAGAGGAATTAGTGTCTTGGTGAGGTTTGTTGTTCATTTTCATCAAAGTTTCTAATTGCCCTGATGGGCGGTTATGGCGCAACACTTGACAACAAAGGATAAGGAAGTTACTAACAAGCTGTGAAAACAACTGCTTTAAGTATTATTAGTGTATTATTACAACAAGCTCTGCTATTACTAGTGGTCCAGAATGGTTGAGCTAAAATATATCACAAAGAAGAATTAAAAATGAATTAATCAATTAAATAAACAAGAAAAGAAAGATGAGTTTCAAATTAAATATTTTAATAAGCCCTTGAATTGCAACACACGCCTTAATTTATTTTGGGTTGTTAGGATGTCTGATTTTAAAGCCTCATCATCTATGAGACTATGACACATCATTAATATAAGACACAAATACCCCAAAAATAAGCAAACCAAACTAATTTTTGATTGAAATTTTTATATCACCGATTAATACAGATTTCTTTTTTAAGTGATTTTTTTTTTTTTAAATTCTTTTATAAATATATTGTACTTGAAAAATCTATTTAATTTTCATACATTTCGGTTGCTGTTCCTTCAATATTTGTGATAGTAATTCTTTATTAACTGATTTATACAGTGGAGGATCATATCACTAACCATGGGCGAAAATCTTCCATATTTTGTTGGGTTCCCATTCACCAAATAATTGCACTATATTTTATAATCTTTTCAACATATCTTGTTATAAACTTATAATTTAGTCTTCAGTAGCCCACCTAGTACTATATATGTCAAACTGTTAGTTTGTCATTTCATAAGGCATGTCCATGCAGTTGATAATATTCTTAACCTCTTCTTTCTTATATAGTCATCAGTCATTGCACTGAATTTCAATGCCTTAGAATTTAAAACCAATAAGTTCACGTAGGTTAACAATTCTCGACATGCATGCCACTCATAGACTTTTAATGTGGTCAATGACCTCCAAACCCTATATAAATTACAATGAAGTAAATGTTTTATCACATCGACTTATAATTTATGTGGTACTATTGATGCACCGCCAACCACATCTCTTAGGATATAAAGATGAAATTTCAACCACGAATACATTGGATTAAAGGAAAAATCGAAGTGAGATATTGTGGTGAAAGAAATCCATGTAGACTCGTACTTTCAATCGATGAGTCATCGACCCAACCCACTAGAGAGTCCACACGACTCAGCCACTTGGCCGCTTCAAAATCACAGCACAAGCATGCGGTTCAACCCCTAGTGCATCTACAAACAAACAAGTAATCAACTCATTCACCCACAAGGAAAGCACCAAAACAGAATCACAAGTATAATATAAAAAAAGTCTCAAGCGGCTAAGTACCAAGTACAAAGTAAGGCACACACGCCAAGGAAGGGCATCGCAGGCCCCAAAAATACATGAGCAAAAACAAAAAGAAAAAAAGCTAAGTATCATTGGTGCGAGCCATCTCACCCACCTCCGACTCGATCACCCTATCACCAGCCCCAGCACTCGCTTCTACAGCCTGGTCGCTCACATCCTCAGTAATTGATGGCCCCGATTGGCTAGCAAAATCAAGCACCTATTCATTAATCTGCTCCTCCGTATTCCCAGCAGCCTCTTCCTCCATCATCTCCAGCATGAGCTGGATGTCCTCATCTGGGTTCTAGTGAGAGGTGTTCCCGGCCCTATACTCAAGCATGAGCTCTCCCCTGGCCCTAATGATGGCGTCATCAGCAATGCTTCCTCAAGGACTCGACCTCTGCAGTCTTCTCGGCCAACTCCCTCCTCAGCCACTCTAACTCACTCTCGGCCTCCTTTAGACGCTACTGGCTCTCCTGCTTAGCTTTCTGTGTTGTCGCTTCCCTCTGTCGTAGATTGACATTAGATTTCGATACACCATGTATCCTCTTCTCCTGCAACACGATGGATTTCCTCAGGTGTAAGCTGCTGGTGAATGATTGCATAACAAAACAACTTGATCAATATACGTTCGCAATAAATACAGTAAAGTAAAACTCCAGCTCATACCTGGAAAGCATGGGAAAACCCCTAGTCAGGGGCCGTGACCGCATCCATCTGGTTCAAACGAGTCTCGTCAGTTGGGAACAGGAATGAGTCAGCCAACTGACACATGGAAGTCGTGTCCGAGTAGGTCGATGCAGAAGCTGGGATGCTGAAGGTGATCCTCTCAGTCTCCTTATCCAAGATAATAGTCTTGGATGATCCAGCTTCGGCTAAAGGCTGACGATTTGGTGGAGTCATCACCACATCCTTCGCTCTCCTCTCCTCTATGGCCGAGGGCTCCCTCTTCCATTTCTTCTGACGCCTAGCAGTAGACTCGCTTGCACTCGAGACAGTTAGCTTCTTCATTAGCTTTTCTGCAATTGCAAACTCCCCAATAGTTAGTGGATTCAGCCTCGACTTACCATACAAGGTATGATTGCAGTAGCGAGTTAGTAGCACACTCCAGGTTTGCTTCAACGAAGGGAAGGGAATAACTCGGCGGATGGCTTCTACTTTGACCCAGAGATGACTGGTCCTGAGGTTAGCTTCCTCCAACACCACTTGCCAATCCCTCTATGCTTTTGGAATGGCTAGAACCTTCTGGGTCTGCACGTCCAAACCGTCCCCACTCTGCTCGGCTCGGTTGAATTCAAGCTCTGCAAAGAAGAAACACAATAAGATTTTAGTAATTAAAATTCGAGGTAAAGACAAAGTTTCTCACCAGTAGCTCGCCAAGTAAACGAAATGTCGCCTTGTCCTCTCTCTCCGAAGACTGCGTCACCTCGCATAAAAAAGTACCGATCCTTCCAGTTCTTATCAGTCGACCAGAGGTCGGTCACGAGGTGAGCTCGCTCATGCCTAAGGTTCAGCAGGTATCGACCTTTGTCCTTATCGTTCTCCTTTAGGAAGTACGAATAAAGTAATTCGTGCAACCCAAACATCACTTGATGCCACACACAAAGGTCCTCCAGAGCCATCAGTAGCCTCCACCCATTCGGCATGAGTTGGGACGAAGCAATCCTGAAATGGTCCAGGACCTCCCATACAAGGCGAGGGATGGGACGTTGGAACCCATCATGGAACCACTTTTCATAGGCGCTCACCCATCCCTTCGCTTCCCAGTCGACCTGCTCGTATGATCGAGCCGCCCTAATCTCAACGGATTCCAGAATATGATACATTGTCCGGATCCGTCACATATCATTGTCCTTTAGTAAGGGCAGATAATCTCGGCTCAGTATCTTACCACCTGGCCGACTTGGTTCGTCTTCAGAGCCACTACTAGTAGAGGATGAACTACCAAAGTCACCAACTCCTTCGGAGTCTTCCCCACTCCCCCCTTGCCCATTAGGCTCATAGTCACTTGGATTAGCCCCACTCGTCCCAGGGGCAGCTATGTTCACCCTGGTCAGTATACCGATCGAAATGCCCCCACCTTTGGTCATCATCACCATGGTCGGGGCATTCTCATACTCATTCCCGACCTCCGCCTCTACCCCACTCGAACTACTGGATCCTGACCCAAACATTGTTCAACCTATTCACTCTCCTCGACTGACTGACCGATTGACCGACCTATTCCCTTAAAAAATTACTTGACCCCGCTCGCCCGACACCACTGAACGAACCACTGTCTCCAAACTATTCCTACTTGACCCCGTTCGCCTCGCACCACCGACCAACCTCTCTTGTTTAGAACATACACTCCCTAAAACCCAAGTGTCAAATCACCGTTTGTCCCTCACTACTGATCGACCTAGTCTTTTCAAAACCAATAGCTAATTGAACCCGCTCACCCCAGGTGACCGACCTCCTCAGTTTAGGGCTCGACTCCCTTCTATAGCTTCACTCGCCCTGAATCACCAATTGACTACTCCAAAATGAGAATACGCAACCATATAACCCTCTATTCGGCCTGGGCAATCGAACGCCTACTCAGAAATATAAAGGACATCCAAATTGATTTTCCAGCCCGATGACTATTTGTGTATTATTACGGAAGAGTCCAACTCTTTACTAGCATTTGAGATGCTACTACATATGGACTACTCAAATATAAAATACACAAGAATCATAATAAAAACAATAAAATATAAGGACAAAAAAATAGAAAATTTAAAGAGATTGAACTTAAGACTTGGGTGTAAGGCATGTCTTGAGCTTTTGGATAGGCGCAACATCAATTTTGAACGCCTTAGAAAGAATTTTATCATCAATGCCACTAGTAAACACATTGAGAGGATTTGAAACCGTACCTGCATTAGTACTTCCAAAAGCAGAAATAGCAGTAGAAGGTTGTTTCGTATCATCATTAGACTAATAGTGCACCAATCACTTTGGAAACACAAACATGTCTCTAGTTGCAAGAGTTTTGTTAATATATGAAGCCCACAACGGTGTTGTTTTGAGCATTAGTAACATGTTGGCATTTTGGTTATTATCCTTTGCAATCTTGACCCTTGATTTGTGATGGATCCAACGGCTGAAATCACTCATGTTGGTCAATGGAATAAAAGAAGCTAAATCGCCCAATTTGCATAGTTGGTCTTTTGTGTATTTTGCGGTTGTATTCTCTCTGCTAGGGTTCTTTATTCTGTTCATATCTCTTGTGTAAATCTTGCTGGTAATCTGATTGGAAGTTATGTTTCTTTCAAGGGTAGAGAAGCAGGAATAGTTTTCTCCAGGGTTGCAGATTTATAGTGTAAGGGGTTGAAGGATTAAGGTGTTGAGAGTGATTAGTTGAGTGCTTGTGGTTAAGTTTGTACTCTATGACTTGTTGATAATAATAGTGCAGCGAGCCTCCATATTTTGGAGCTCAACATCGACATAGCTTGTTCAATCTTGAACAAGTGAACCATGGTAAAAGATTGTGTGTTGGTGATCTTGATTTGATATGTAGTTGTTTTTTACTAGTGTGGACTTGATAGTTGTTGGATTGAAATCTAGGGAACTTGAATTGAAAATTTAGAAAAGAAATGGGAATAATCTATTTGTGAAAGGTAGGAT